CACATGACGTACATGTACTCATGTTGTATTATAGAAACTTTCCATTGTGTTGTAATTTTATTAATAATAAATAATTAATAAAAGGATACACATTTCCTCTTGATAGTTTAAGATATGACGGATTAATACCAATGATCTATAGAAATGATAATAATAATAATAATATCAACATTATTATTATTAGTACTTGGTATCCATTGTTGCTTCTAAAACCAGCAATGAATTTAGTTAGAGACACTTTAGTCATACACAAACCCTAAAAAAAAAAAATAATAATAATAATAATAATTAATAAGTAATAGTTAATACATGGGGCAGCGTGTTCTATCTGATTTATCCGCATGAGCTTCCGGTCGAGTCGCTAAAAATAGTGCACGAGGCCAAAGGCCGAGTGCACTATTTTTAGCGACTCGACCAGAAGCTCTAATTGTTTTAGTGTATAGTTCCAGCAAAGATTGTACTTGCTCTGCTATCACTGATATCACACTGCTGCACATTAAATAAATGAGTGTGCTATTTATAATATCACACTGCGCTATTGGTGGGAGTGAATTGCAACTATACATTAAATAATAATTATCATTACCAATACCTGTATGAGTAGAGGTAGTGATCTGGTCTTGTGAAGGTAGGTTTGAAGAGCAGCTGATAAATGATAGTGAGGAGAAGACTGGTGACACACCACTGACACTCCTTTACCCTGAGCCTGGAAACATATCTATTTATAGAATAATGGGAGGAGATTAATGAGTACATTATATGAGCTAATATTAGAATTCTATATTTAGTAACAGTGATTGATATGTGGTCATTTTGAAGGAGCTAATTTTAATAAACTTAATAGCTGAAACTACAAAAAACATGTACTGAACATGTCCATTCCTTACACTGTGTTCTCCATATTGAACTAACAGACTATCATAATCAAAAGACTTGATAGCACAACCTTTCAACAAACCAGTACCTAAATAAATAAATAAATAAATAAATAAAGTGATTGTGTCTGGAGGTGAGTATCAGTAATGTAATACCTGAGTCCCTTGATATCTGCCCTCAGCTTCACCTCAAGCAGATATCTCAGTCCTCAGGTATTACATTACTTATACACACACACCTCCAGACAGGCTGGACTACATGTACAATAGTATCCTGAAGTGTACAATAGTATCCTGACCTGTTCCAGGAGACCCCTCAATATATTCCCTCAGTTCAATCATCTCCTGTAGTAGGGTACACTTGTCAGTCCAGTCCTGAGTGATGTGGTGTCCAATGTTACCATTAATGGACAGTCTCTTCCTTAGGATGACTGGGGAACCACTGGGAATAAGGATATTATTGAACACCATCTAATGGAAATAATAATAATAATAATAAATAAATATAAACAGTAATTTAAAGGAAC